TGTTTGCTGATTTTTGGAGGCCCAATAATATTAAATCCTTTTGGCCCAATCTCAAGTGACCCAACTAGTGATCCATCACAATAGAAGAATCTGGAATGGTGATATATATAAATATATTTCAAGGTAATTCTCTGCAATTAAGTGAGACTTTTCAATTAGAGTCAGGAGCCTTTTCATTCTCCATTGCGCAGCAGCTTCTTTTCTTTTTTCATATTTTCTCTGTAAATTTGATCTCTAATGTTCCGTGTGATTTTTGTGAGATAGGATAATATAGTGATGAACTCTTGTGTGAGTTCATGAGTGTTGTAGAAATGATTGTGTGGTTTCTGTTGTTTTGTGGCTGTATACTGTAACTCAATCTCTTGCCTATTTATGAACGGTTTCTAGTGGAATTGAGCTTATTCTTAACGGATGCTCAACGGGAATTAGGCGTTAGAAGTGGTCGCCGAACCTCGGGGCCCTTGGGCCGAAAAATCTTATGTTGATTCTTGTTATTTTTGTTGATTTCTTTTATGTTTTTACTTACAAATCGAAACCACAAACTTGTTTAGGACCAACAGTGGTATCAGAGCATATGAGAAAAAAAATTTCTTGTCGATTTGTGTTATTGTTTTTCAGATCTGATTTGTTTTCGATTTTACGGTTTGAGAAATCTTTTGACTTTTTGAACACAAATTATTTTTTGGGTTGTTGAAACTGTGGATCTTGAAAATCTTTGTTACTAAATTCCAGTACTCGGTTGTGACTCGTTTTTGATTTGTTGTTTGTACACTAAGTTTTTGTAAATCGGTATAACTCGTACTGAGAGTCACACTGAGTCATACCGAGTTTACATTGAGTCACACCGAGTCTGCCATATCCAGTTTACACGAGTTCTTTTTCTTGCTGTTGAGTACTATAGTACATATAACTGAAAATTTTAAAGATTTTGGTATCAATGTTTCTCTTTAAAATTTGGTTTTTGAGAATCTCCTCTAACTTTACCTTTGTCTAGGGGTCCCTGTGA